CTTTAGCGTTATAGACTTACGAAACTCTGTATTTTTCAGGATGTCATACTTGTCGGGCTAATATCTGATGAATGATGTTTCGAAAAAGCTTGTGAAAACTCTCTCAGGTTTCATATTTTTCCCTGGCAGTCGTTCATTTAACTGTTCATCTTGTAGATGGATTTTCTACCGTAGCAGTTCAATTTGTTTCCAGTAAGTGTAAGTCGAACGCGCTATCCCCCAATCCAATATCAAAACACAATAATTCTAGGAGAAAGCGGTCTATATTATGTTAAAATGGAAATACAAACCAATACCTGATTTTTGATACACATTCCAAGTCCCAATTACTCTGATGAGTATCCGAGTTCAAAAAGAATAGGTGATGCTAGATCCAACCGCAACAGTATCAAATCCAAATATGGCTGTAGCCATATTATATCAAATTTAAACAACATATGTACAGTTCAGAAGCAAACATAAAAACTTCAATATAAGTACAAAATATAGAAATAATAACAATATACAATGATAAAATCTCAAATTGGAATCAAATAAAATACCAAAATGTCAAGAGAAAGAGTCCGTCATGTCGTAACAAAAATATATAAACATGGAGGGATTTTCCAAACAACAAAACATTCAAAAAAGATTCTACACATCTAAGTCCAGTTAAACTTATTTCTTATTGGCCGCACTAGTCTGAATTATTTAAGGTAATGATCTGAATCTTAAAATAATGACCCACAATGGAAGGAGTAAATAGGCATCCACATTATTGCGAAGGGAATTTGTTGTATGCTAACCAAAGTGATCTGAAATGACTAAATAAAGAGAGTTGTTGATGGTTACATGAAAGATGACATTGGAGCTTGTCTTCCTGATCATAAACGATTCAGAAGTAAATCTTCGAGGTTTTACACCAGTTTACATTGTATTCGCACATCTAAAGCATATATGTGCCGAGAAACTAGTTACTTACTTACTTATTTTACTTATGCCTGTTAACCCCCAATCGGGCATTGGCAGCCGACCAGTTTCCTCCGACCAACTCTTTCCTGGGCTTCTCTTTCTGGTTCTTTCCAATTTCTGTTCATTCTTATCATGTTTTTACCTATTCCGAGAAACTAGTGGTTTCACAATATCTTGACAGATAACTTCGGAAGTGGATGCCCAGTAATGTTTGTTTCGTTCATATATGAGGCAGATCACTTGTTTTATATATTACACGAATCTCAAAATACAATGAAAATTCCAAGTTGATGTACGCATGGCGTATTCAAGTGAATATCACCTATCACAAATCGTCAAGCAAGTATTCATTTACTGCTTACAATCTTCAACTTGTTATAACTATGACAAATTTTCCCTTTGTTATTGTAATCATTACTTCATTTCACTCATTTTTCCAACCTCGCTAATTGTCAACTCTACTCCAGTTTGTGTTCCTACACTTCGGTTCCCTCGTACAACAACTGCTACCAATCAATTAAGTCATATTATATAATAAGCTTCCAAAATATCCATATTTAAATAAAATCGACCGTTGCTGATTTTTAATTTTTTATGAGAAGTCAGATTTGCAATGATAAGAGGGAGATGAGAGGTAATAGTTAGTTTTGAGGTAGTGGATATGGCAACTACAAACAAGTCTAGAGATATGTATCAGGCATCATTTGTCAAAGCGTGTGATGATAATTGGTTTGTGAGCACGCTTTTATGGTTTCTCCTATTACGGTTTACATTGTTGTTTGCCGTTATCATACCACCACTCATACTACGATAACTCAGAGACAATAATCTCGTGTTGGAGTCTATTTTCGTAAGATTAGCTGTTGGTTTCAACGAACTACTTGATTTTCTGTTTCTGCACTCTGTCTAGGTGATTTATGTCTCTTTGGAAGAGAGGAGTGCGACATAAGTGTGACTGTTAAGGTGTGGACGGTTATCTGTTTAAAAATATTTGAGGAACTCTATGGTGAATGCATTAAGTTGTCTTCACACAAATCAGCGAGTTGCATTTAGTTTGTCTGCATCTCCAATATAGTTCAGGCGAGCGTATAAAACCATTCTGGTTACACATGCGACATCGTTCTCTGATTAGGCAGTCAATGTAACCATACAGTTCTAAATAAAATGTATTAATAATTAGGCAAACATGAATTCATGAAAAATATGGCAAGGTAATTTTCAAACTAGATTTTCATAACTGCTTCGAATTACGGCTTCGAAATAAAAAAAAGTTCATCTACAGCACACTACGGACCAAATGGAAAAGTTTCAGTAACTCTTTTATAAGCGTGTCTCAAGTATAAAAATATCCACGTGTCTTGATACCTGTTAGTTATTTCCATAACTCAAAAATCGGATCGTAGTTTATATACTCACCACGTAATCTGATTTGATGTGTCTGTCAACGATCTATGTTGCATACGACCTATCGACTGAAGGACATTATTATCTTATCATATAAATGTGACACATAATTTTATTCATTTCTATAAGACGCGCCATACTGGTCGGTATGTTTGCTCGTTTCACTCAATAGCTGTAACCTTCTTAAATATTGTACTAATACGATTGCTTTTATATTTAGGAACAAATAAAGTTTAAAGCCAAGTTGTCCTTGTTCTGACTATAGCTTTACCACCAATTATTTATTCTCCAATATTGCGTTTACAGTTCTAGCAGTACACTTGCAGGAGAGAATAATTCCTGCAATACCCAAGGATATTAAGTTTCACGTTAACTGTAACAAAAATACCTTTAAAGCAAACCTTGTTGAGTGAAGGTGCATTTTCGGTCAGCTGGATAGTTTAGTTATCCATGTACTCTTTAACAGATGAATTAGGCCCCGCTTAGAATGGGAAATTATAGTGTTTCTCCTCTCACTCCAAAAGGTGAAGCACAAACTACTAAATATCCAAAGGTGAGATACGAAATCATTCAAACCTTATAATTAGCGCTACTGGTCACTGGATATATACCAGTTAGAATATAAGCGCCCCCCTGGAAATTTTATGACTCACAGCATTGTAATTACACCGAAACACCCTCTAAGCCCAACCTCAGAAGAAACTCTAAAAGTAAGTACCCAGAAACTAGAGACTTAACACAGGAAAACGGACTACAGGCCAACTCGTACACTGTGTGGGTAGTCGCATTCTGCAATTCGTGACCGAACGAGTTAACAAAAGAGGCTACACTCGAGAACTGTAAGAAGAAACTTGACATTCCTTAGAACTCTGGTAAATACTCGATTATAATTCTCTGATGAATAGGAAGATGAGGGAGTACATGGTTAAGAGCAAAGCCCTTCATAAAGCTTAACAAAGGCATGGGAAAGATAGATCTTGCGCATCCAATCTTCTAACAGAATAAGACAAATGAAAAACTGCATTGACCAAAATATCTGATTCGAATAATATCTCTTGACTTCGCAAAAGATTTCGACACAGTACTTCATTTATTGCTTTGGTACTGATCTATTAGAGATTGACTGTGATCACCATTAAGTACTTATTACTAGTCCGTCACTGTAAGGAAAAGTAAATCCAGGGTAAGGAATATATTTGCTGGTGAATTCGTGGCGTCGATAGAACACCGAAATCACAACAAGAAAGTGGGCGACATAAGGAGCAGCGTGTAACGAAAGCTGGCAGCAACACAAACAGAAAGTTGAGAGTGTTTTTAGTACAGTTAGACAAACGGAGTACAATAAAGCAATTATGATTACAATTGTGTACAGTAACAAATGTTTTCATTTCATCAATTGCGTTCTCTTCGTAAAAGCGTTCCACTACATTGGTTATTGCAAAGTTTATCCGAATGAGCTTCACTAATCAACTTCTATCTTGGCTCAGTAACTACTTAGAGAACAGAAGGTTTCTCACCAGGGTAAATAGAGTGCATTAGAGCTGGAGTTTCACAGGGGAACATCTTAGGGCCACTCCTCTTTGTGACATTCAGTTTTCATCTGTTAGACAAAATTAACTCCGTGGCACTGATATACACAGACGATGCTAAGATCTGGAGGTCCATAAGAGGCGAGAGGATTATTCTTAAGTTAATTATTCTTAACACTGTTTAAAATATACACCCACATTTTGAAGTTCACAAAGTCATCGCATCCCCTCTCCTTAAAAGCGAAATAAATCTCTTGGATGGAGTGAAGAGATGAGTAATGAAATGGGTGATAGGGTTTAAGAATAAAACTTACGAAGATAGACTCTAGCAATTGGGATTGTTCTCCCTAAGCTACAGCCGAAGCAGAAGCTATCTGATTAAATCACTCGACATATTGAGCACACAAAATCATCCCAAAGTGAGCATCTTACCGAAACATCACGACCACGCCTCTTGAGGTAATCCTCGGAAAATCGAGCATCGGAGAGCGAACAATCAGGCTCGTGCAAGATTTTTTGCATTAAGAGTCTTTGCAACTTGAAGTGTTCTTTCAGCTTAAGTGACCACAGAGTCCTCAGTGAACAGCTTCAAGAAGAGACTTGACAAACACATACTCATATACGGATTATCATATCCCTCGTGACCCAGCTGTGCCTGATGCATCTCTTGAAACCTGATAGTTGTCATTATTGCTATCTCCTCATATCACCAACTTAATCCCTCTCGCCTATGATTTTGTTTCCTCTCCCTTACTCACACCGGTCCACTCACAATCTTCACCACCAATTATTAGACTAGATTTTCCAGTAATTTAATTAGTTCTGAAATCTTCATATTAGCATTAAAATCTTTTCCTTATTATTTTCCACGTTCTAACAAACTGATCTCCGGCTTGGTAACGTGATAGTTTCTGGTATCCAGAAACGGGACATACAAATTCACAACCAACTGCCAACTGACTAGAATTAGACAGTCCAGTGGCTTAATCACTGTCCATTGGACAATACCAAACACCTGGAACCGTATCGAAAGGACAAGAATCGAGCGCAAAGAAATCAGTTGGTTTATACTAGATCATGAAAAAATATTGGATATTGCATAAAATTTTGTGACCAAAGTAACCTTGAGCTACACGTTGGTCCGTCAAACTCTCCAGATGTTCTGTACGGCTGGCTGTATTTTATTTACTAGTTGCAGTTCTCCAAATACTTTGAATTCGTAGGTCCGCGTACAGAAATTTATTAATGCCATACACGGGTGAGTTTATTCTGCCCGATAACTGGTTCATTTTATGTTTCTGTCACATCTCAATAAACGAATGCTAACCTAACTTTTTCTTACCATTTCTCCTCGAAAATAATATATGTAAATTTAGAAAAGAAACTGATTGCAGTTAGACATTGTAGTTATGGCATGTTTCATGATTTATAAATCAAGCATATTCATGCACTTACCCAAATATCTAAACATTTGTCTGACTTTCTACTGGGTCCTTCTATAATATCTGATGTAGGATTGCTCGAAGGATAGATGTAACTCAGTAGATCGTTTTACATCACTACTTTATACTGCGACGATAGTCTGGCTCTTAAGGAGGGTCTAACTCGTCTTCTGAGTTGTGCGGACAACGACGGACTGTTAACTCTCAACATGTCGCAGATTATGTTTACAACCCATATGACTCCCCTGTGGATGTGTCCGTGATTGAAAAGCATCCGTTTTTACTGCCCTGTGTTTTAAATGTGATTCAATTATTTATGGCATCGTAAACACTCCTGGTTAGCTCATAAAACGTTTGTGTAAGCTTGGTTGTACCACGAATTTTGTACACAGTACCCAGAATATAGAGGCATACCATTACTGAATGAACTGTGGACTCACTCTGATCTTAAAAGTAGTCAGATTCTGGAATCCTCTGCCAGCTGACGTAGTCCAAGCAAGTTCTTGGGAGTCCGAGAGAAAACCTGAAATAAATTTCAGGACCCACGATGGTATTTCATCATAATTTTCTAATATTTTCTTCCTTTCATTAAAATATACTTAGATCCCTACTTGGAAAAATTGGTGCTGTTACTAGTTACGCAAACCCGTTAATAAAAAGCTTTTCCACCCACAACCATTTCAACCATTTGTAAACATGCCTAATTATTCTGGTCGTTATATAGATATTCGACTGAAAATCTCCAGCATAGGTTCTTTAAGCCCGGAGTGTTATTGACCACCTTATGTCACTAATTGACCAGATTAATCAAACCATGTAGCTTAAGCGATACTGGTAACGATTGCCCCATTTGTAAAAGCAGAAATCATTTTTGATTTTGGTCATTTCTCTGCATACCACAGGCACTCCTCCGGTAAACGTGCATCTGCAAGACTATAATTTATAGACGAACCATTTGGTTCTAAGATTTTGGTGTGAAATTCATTCATCAATATAGCTTAATCAAATCTTAGCATTATAGCTGAAATCAGCCCGTGATGAAAATCTTAATTCAAATTCTCAATCTTAAGTCATAACTCTAACTTTTAGTCTCTATCCTAACTTTTCTATAACCCATTTCAGCCGTGGTAAGTGTACGGGGTTTCGTAAGTACTTGAGTATCGCTCAAAGAGCGTCCATCTATCATATAATCATCAGCTGGAGTACTTACTACTTAGTATATGAACATGTTTGGAGAAATTCACAGTTATTAATGTTCTGTTTTTTTACTGACAAACTAGGTTGTTTGTGACGTTTAGTTTTGAACAAGCTTGATTGAATATTTTGTCTTTGGGGCATTTTGATCAATTCCCGTCCCTAGATATTCAAAATTAAACTGTTTGTTATCAGTTGTGCGTCCTAAGAACTTTACGTTCCCTTATACAGCCACAGAGATTGTTTAAACCAAATATATATGAAGGATTTTCAAAAATACGTCCTGCAATCCTTTCACTAATGATGCCAGTTTTACTGTTTTACTTCAGATCAATTGTAATGGTGATTAGATGTTCATGAATATCTAAAACCTTTAATAGACCTTTCATGTGATCTTAGGTGGTCCAGTTGATAGAAGCTTCTAAAGTAAGAAGACATGCAGAGATGGAATAAATGTGGTACTTGTAAAATTGATGACTGATATTTTGTTCAGTTGCCACTTGAGCATTAAATATTTAATTCCTGTCTAGGACTCATTTCAAAAACTCAACATTCCTTTTTGTTTTACGGAATTATAAAGTGATCTCTACTAGCGATTTCCAAATATATGTATACAATATTCAAGTAATTGATTCTCAATTGCTGTTTTGTTGATTGGATTTATAAATTGCATTTCACATGCGGGTTATCGTTTAATTTATCGCATGTTACACATGTACATGTCTTTATTCAGTCAGTCAGTTACAACGTGGAACTCCGAAAGTACGTACATACATACACTCGACCTTTGTTTAGCGAACGGATATCTCGCCTATTCCATAAGTGATGCAAGTTGGCAAGAGCCAATCGAAACTTCTATGTCCGTGCTCAGATTTCATCAGTCACCAGGCCATCAGCATTGATGAGACTCCCGAGATAGGTGAAGCGATCAACACGCTCAACTGCTTCACTCCCTATCACTAGTTCAGGCGCCGATGCAACCCAATCTTGAAGCAACATTTTACATTTCGACGGGGAGAATCGCTATGGAACATGCTTTCATTGTTGCTTAGGGTGGTGAAAAGACGGCATTTTATTAGCTTCTTCATCAAGTAAAACTATGTCATCGGCATACTCTAAGTTAACAAGAGAAAGTGGACAACCTTGACGAACACCACTTGAAGTAATCAACTCCGATGACAGTTCGCCATAAGTTCTCAGTCGACCAGTGCTGTTTGAATAGAGCGTCTGTATAAGGTTATCGTTTTTCTCTGGTATTGTTTTCAATGGCAGATACTGCCATAGAACATCACGAATAACAGAGTTAGGCTATCATTGGACGCCCAAATGTGTGTCCGTGTTCCAGAACCTGTCGTAGTGTGAATATGTGTTGTGTACAGCCACGTCCAGGTTTTCTAGAATAGGTGTTTACGAACCACTGCTCGTGTCTTTTCGAAGAATCAAGTAAGCAATGCCCAACCACCGACTGCCTCGACGAGCAATGTTTCGTGGTGTAGGATTAGGTTGGAAGAAGTCTAGTTGTGGTCAAACCAAACCGTGACACAAATCCATGGTTTGGTCAATAACAAGTGGACTGAGTCATGTTGTAGACGTAGACTACCTGGTTTGGGTCAGCGAGACGATAGTAACCGATGGTTAGAGACCTTGAACGACAATGCTCAAAATCTTCATGCATCCACTCTCTGTGTTCTTTGAAATTCTAATCTTGTGAATTCGTCATCAACTCTATCTTTTTCTTTCTAAAGTTATCTCACTGAATTAAACTTTTTGAATGATATTTTCGAATCTTATTCTCTCCGCTTACTGCTAATACTTCTACTATCGCTACTACTATTGGATTTGAAATAACAATTGCGTCTCTGTGCTACTGCGATTTGGTAACCTGAACATATATACTCGTGTACGAAGTTCTGCCTTTTAACTATTTGAGTTACTGAATCTTTTCTACTACTATGGGATGTGAATTGACAATTTCGTGTCTATGCTAATATGGTTTGGAAACGTGAACTGATGTACCTGCGTCCGAAGTGGTACTTTGGTTGCTCAGTGACCTGCTGGTTTTCTTCATTCGGAAAAACTAGGATACTCAAATTAAATAACTACCATTTTTTTAGTACTCCAATAAATCGAGAGTGTGCATTCGTTTTGATGTGAAACGTTGTTCTTTACACGACTATCACTAGGAGGATTCTATCAAAATTTATCTTAAAGTTCTTTGTAATAGTTTTTAATATTACGGATAATGCAACAACTGTGTTTAGGTTCCATAAGATTTCAAATTTTAGTTATAAGTAAAATCTACTAAAGAGTTCACGATGCTAAAATATCTCACATCTTTTTATACAGTTATGTTCATTTGCTAAATGCTTCATATCAATTTTAGGTTGTCTGGCTTCATAGATTAAAAACTTTTCCTTGTTTTTACAGTGAAAATGAAGTCAGAAAATGGCATCACGTTTCCGTTAAGTTCTGAGTAAGTTCTAATTTCATATTTTATAATGTAGTACTGGTTGAGTTTGACTTTTTGAAATATTATTTCTGGTAGACGATTTTGATTCTTTATTAAAGGTTTATAATATGGTCATAAGTCTTCTATTAGTTTTAAGGTACCTATTATTTTATATAATTGGCTGTCATTGGGTAAAAGAAAAAGTATTTCTTTCAGACTGCATATTTAAATATCTCTATCCAGGGATATGACTGAGTCGCATTTTGTCAATTGAAGTTAGCCTGCCCTCCCTTCTCTTCAGGAAATAGTCGCCATTTAGAACTCTCATATCCTCAGGTTTTAAGTTGCTAAATAATCGATCGTTCCCAGCTACTATCAGCACTTTGCTGCTCAAAGACCACTTGAGCATCATGCTCAGCTCATTACCCCAGTTAGTGAAGCATATTATCTACTTTCCAATGATTAAAAAAAACCGTTACATGTTTGTTGACTATCCAAATATGTATTCGAATAATTTCTTGGAAATATATTATTGTATTTATACGGATTTTCATTTCTTTAATATGCCTACATATTTTATGCATGTAAGCCAGCCCATTTGATATTCATGCTGTTAAGTAAATTATTAATTAGGTGTAACGTTTGTTCTTTTTTGCTTCCACCCACTCGGTACTAATTTCTTTGTCAATTTGTTTTATAACTCGATAACATAATGATGAATTACTCGACGAATCCGTCTTGTCTATTATTATTTTGGGTTTAAAAGTTTACAGTTATATTAAGCTCTTGGTCATGTATTAGCTGTAAACAATGACAATATAGTATGTTTTATTTTGGCCCACTATCTAATACAGTATTTATGCCTTTCCACCTTATCATTTGTATTAATCAGTAATAAAATATAAATTTTCGTTGACCTTAATTTCAATTATTGTGTAGATCAGTGTTCTTAGGCGATTGCTAAGAAAGAAGTGATGTATCATTTCTTTGTTCTTTCTGGCTGTCATAATGTTGATCATTCCTGGAGTTAAATTTCATGTAAATAGTCTTTAGCGAATTGAATGAATAAGACAACCACAAGTTGTTCGTTCAAACTTCATTAATATTGTGCTAAATCCTTCTTGGTCTCCAGTTTAAGAACAGCGATTGCTTTTAATCGTTACACAGGTTTGCGACATAATCTAAGTAACATTGATTTGAACACATGACCTCGTATCTGAATTGATTGTGTTGATCTTTTGATTTGATTTCTACACTAATTCAAAGAATAAGTTGTTATTCAAACTATTGCACTAAAATTCGTTCAGATGAGATCAAAGCTGTGATAAATGAGATCTAAACAAAATAATTACAATATAGTAGGCGAAAATCAACACTTTAACTGTTGGGAGACTGTTTTCTAATCATTTTCGTATCCATACGATAAAATAATGGATTATAAGAAAGTATTACATTTCTACTTGAAATAGTTCGTTAGTCAGTCAGTTACAACTTCGAAATTCGTACGTACGTACATCAGTTCAACTTACCATACCACATTAGCATACTGAGAACGCATTGTCAATTCAAATCCTATAGTAGTTGAGGTAGTAAAAGTGTTAACGGTGATCAAAAGATTAGGGATAGGAGATATGTTTCGAGAATTATATTCCAGTGGTATCACTTTAAAAATAAAAGAAATAAAAACGATCATGAAGAGTTCACAAGAGAAGACAAAGAATGGATACATCTGCGCCATCGCAGACGATTTGTAGCCACATCAGCACGGATACAGAAGGCTCGATTGGCTTTTGCCAACCTACGTCACTTATGGCGTAGGCGTGATATCCGTTCTCTAATCAAAGGACGAGTGTACTGTGCAGCAGTTCGCTCCGTTCTCCTATACGGCTGTGAAACATGGCCAGTGAGAGTAGAAGATATTCGTAGGTTACTGGTTTTCGATCATAGGTGTCTTCGAAGCATTGCTCGTATACCGTGGGACAACCGAGTGAGCAATGCTGTCGTTAGGAAACGAGTACTAGGTAAGGATGGGAGAGCAATAGATGAAGTGGTGAAACTTCATCAGTTGAGGTGGTTGGGACATGTGTTGCGTATGCCGAACCACCGACTGCCTCGACGAACTTTGTTTTGTTGTGTAGGAGTAGGTTGGAAGAAAGTTAGGGGCGGCCAGTCAGTCAGTCAGTTGCAACGTAGAACTTCGTACGTAAGTACATCAGTTCATGTTGCCATACCACATCAGCACAGAGAAGTAATCGTCAATTCAAATCCAGTAGTAGAAGAGGTAGTAAAGGTATTAGAAGTAATCGTAGACGTTAGAATTAGAAGATATTATTCACGAAGTATGATTCAATGAGATAAGTTTAGAAAGTAAAAGCTAGAGGTGTTGAAGAACCCAGAAGATTAGGATTTGAGAGAACACAAAGAATAAATGCACCAGTGCCATTGCGAACGATTTTGAGCCATGTCATTCAAGGTCTCTAGCCATCGATTATTATCATCTCGCGGACCCCAACCAGGTAGTCGACAATTACCGACATGGCTCAGTCCACTAGTCAATGACTTCATGGATTTCTGCCATGTTTTGGTTTGGCCGCCCCTAACTTTCTTCCAACCTATTCCCACACTACAAAACAAGGCTCGACGAGGCAGTCGGTGGTTAGGCATACGCAACACATGTCCCAACCACCTCAACTGATGAAGTTTCATTACTTCATCGATTGATCTGCCATTCTTACCTAGCACCCGATTCCTAATAACAGCGTTGCTCACTCGTGTGTCCCACGATATACGAGCAATGCTTCGAAGACACCTATGATCGAAAACCAATAACCGACGAGTATCTTCTACTCTGATTGGCCATGTTTCACAGCCATAAAGTAAGACGGAGCGAACCACTGCGCAGTACACTCGTCCTTTAGTCAGCAAACGGATATCTCGCTTACGCCATAATTGACGAAAGTGTATAAAAGCCAATCTAGCCTTCTGTATCCGTGCTGAGATTTCGTCAGTCACCAGGCCATCAGCACTGATGAGACTCCCAAGATAAGTGAAGCGGTCTACACGTTCGACCACTTCACTCCCTATCACTAGTTCAGGTGCCGATGACACCCAATCTTGAAGCAACATTTTGCATTTCGAGGGGGAAAACCGCATCCCGAACATGCTTGCATTGTTGCTTAGGGTGGTCAGAAGACTCTGCATTTTGTCAGCGTCTTCACCAAGTAGGACAATGTCATCGGCATATTCTAAGTCAATAAGCGAGCCACCTGGTAGAAGGTCTACTCCAGAAAATTCAGACGAGGATAAGGTAATTTCTAGGAGCATGTCTATGATAAAATTAAACAAGAATGGAGAAAGTGGACATCCCTGACGGACACCACTTGATGTAGAGAATTCCGGTGACAGTTCGCCATAAGCTCTCACTCGACCAGTGGTGTTCGAGTAGAGAGCTTGTATGAGGTTAATGTACTTATTTGGTACACCTTTCAATGACAGACACTGCCACAGAACCTCACGATCCACAGAGTCGAATGCCGCCTTAAGGTCCAGGAAAACAACTTTTGTAGGACGTCTAAATGTGTGTCTGTGTTCCAGGACCTGTCGTAGTGTGAAAATGTGGTCTATACAACCACGTCCAGGTCGAAAACCAGACTGGTTTTCTCTAGTCTGCTCTTCACGAGCTTTCGTTAAGCGTCAAAGTATTATTGAGGCCAATATTTTAGATACTATATTAGTTAGACTTATTCCTCTGTGATTGTCACAAGAAGACTTCTGTTCTTTCTTATAGATTGGGACAATCAGTGATTGAGACCAGTCGGATGGGATTACGTCCAGTTCCCAGATTCTACCTAAGATTTCGGTCAACCTAGTTGCTAAAACTGGACCACCATCCCTAAATATCTCAGGGGTCAGTCTACCAGGACCCGCAGCTCGTCCTTGCTTCAGATTTCCTAACGCTTTTTCAACTTCATTAAGACTAGGGGGACTTACGTCGATTTGCCATTCAGGATGACTGGAGATCGTGGGTAACCGAAGAGTGGCTCGAGGCCAGTTGAACTGATCCCTAAAGTGTTCTGCCCATCGATCCAGTCTCCTGGATTGAGAATAAATAATAGTCCCGTCATTTTCCGAGATAGTCTCACTTACACTAGGATTCCTAATACCAGTTTGCTTGATAAGTCGGAAAAGTTGTCTACTGTTGCCGATCGCCGCTGCCTTTTCCATCGCTTTTGCTTTCGCCACCCACCACTGTTCGCGATCGTTATGTAGGCTTTTCATAAATCTGCGCCTAAGTTGACTTCGTTCTTCATCATGCTCAGAGCCAGGTGGGATGAGTTTTCGGGCATCCATCAGATCGGTGGATGCTACTGAGATCTACGGTTTCATTCTAGCCTTATGGTCAACCTTACTAGCAGATATCACTGCTGTTTCCACAGCCTTTTTGATATCATTCCATCCTGCTTCCGGATGGGAATCGCTTAAATGGTCGCCTAACTGTCTTTCTAGTTCCTCCTGAAATATATTTTTCGCCTTATTATCATTAAGTAAAACCCTAAGAGGCTTTCTTACGGTGTCTTTCCTACGCCCAGTAAGCTTCAAACAAATACGCGCTCGCACTAGGGCATGATCTGAATCTAAACATGTGCCCCAGAACGAGCGACAGTCTTCTATCGAACCCCTCCATCGGTGGCTGATGGCGATGTGATCTAGTTGAGTCCAACGTTGAGACGACTTTGGAGGTCGCCAGGTCAACAGATGCTTTTCCTTATGCCTAAAGTTAGTGTTTGCTAAGAATAGGCGGTTGTCTGAGCACAGTTGCAACAGACGGTCACCATTGTCTGTTCTCTGAGCCACGACACCATAACATCCACCTAGGTGTCTTTCCTTTTCACCTAGTCTACCTACTTGAGCATTAAAGTCACCAGCCATTATTACTATATCAGAGCGCTTAACTTTTTGGAGAAGGTCCGAAAGCTTTCTGTAAAACTCATCCTTAACCTCGTCTGAACTGCATTCAGTGGGGGCATAGGCAGATACGCTGAAGAGGCAACGGCGATTGTCCCTATCTTTCCGAGTCCTTACTGTCCCGTTTAGTCGGACAGCGCACAATCGACTATCTATTGGGATCCAGTCAAGGAGAGATTGTTCTGCCCTACGACTCAATGCTATGCCTACGCCAGCAAGACCCCTGGAAGCAGCATCAGGGCTACCGGATACACGAAGAGTAAATCGAGCTGCTTCTTTATTTTGACATGGTGTGGTCAAGTGTATGACGCGACTCGGATCCTGTATGCGCGTTTCCGAGACGCAGCATACATCGATGGCACGAGATTCTAAAGTCCTAGCTAAGGAAGCCTGTTGCCCTATTTGACACAATGTCCGTACATTAAATGCTCCAACATGTAGTCTAGAGCGAGGTTTAAGGAGACCAGGAACGACGTTTCGCGAACTCGTATCGTCTGCCTTAGCTGTGCATTGTGATGAATGAATGTGAGAAGAGTTAGTCGTGGAGATAAGAGAGACATGTGGGGGTGTAGGAAGGATTTGATTTTGACCAATTTGGTCTCGCGTGCTGTTACGGGTATGAGGGCGGTTGTCACTTCCCGGCTGCCCACACCGTGGAAGGTTGTTTCTTGAGGAACCTGAAAAGGAAGATAGATTAGTGTTGGTGCGTGACCGCAGAGCCCAAGGGACAACTGCTTGAGGCCGGTCACGCGCGGCCTTTTTATGAAATGTTTTTTGAGGATTAGCTCCGTTCTTAAAGGCCCTTAGTGGGCACCCTTACCCACGGAGACGGAAATCCGTGAGTTAGGGGAGGTGTGACATTTTTAGGGCCGACCTTTTCTAACCCTTCCTTCCTTGTGAGAAGGCAGCATCGCTGCAGATGCTGGTTGTCCGAGGGAAACACCTTACTGCTCTCACACCCCTCCACCACAGTCAGCAGTACGACTTCGCCCTCAGACCTTGGGTAGCTGCTTTTAGTCTGATCGTTCTCCAATCGACCTGTCTGGCATGGTAGAACCTTCAGGAACATATGTTCCAGCCAGTATAGCTCGGTTGGGTCATCACGATAAGCAAGCCCGACCACCACGTCAAGGTAGCAGCTACGGTCGGGTTAGGGCGGCCAAACCAAAACGTGGTAGGAATCCAAGAAGTCATTGACGAGTGGACTTAGCCATGTCGGTAATTGTCGACTACCTGGTTGGGGTCCGCGAGATGATAATATTCGATGGTTAGAGACCTTGAATGACATGGCTCAAAATCGTTCGCAATGGCACCGGTGCATTTATTCTCTGTGTTCTCTCAAATCCTAATCTTCTGGATTCTTCAACACCTCTAGTTTTGACTCTCTAAACTTTTCTCACTGAATCATACTTCTTGACTGATATCTTCTAATCCTAACCTCTCCGATTACTTCTAATACCTTTACTACCTCTTCTACTATTGGATTTGAATTGACAATCATATCTCGGTGCTGATGTGGTATGGCAAAGTTCTACGTTGCATCTGACTGACTGACTGATCTCATCCAAAGTCTTCAACCACCGATTACAATTGTCTCGCGGACTCCGACCAGGTTGTTTACGCATAATAACGTGACTCAGTTTAGTTGTCAATGACTTCATTGATTTTTGCCATGTTTTGGTTTGGCCGCCCCTAGCTTGAGATAGTTTAAGGAGTATGAATCACTATTTAATAATAATATTTTCCAAACCGATACATTTAGCTTATTCTATAGGTATATGTTTTCTAAATTAACGTTTCCCGTATATCTATTTTCTTTCAGTACACTTGTATCAATGCTTTCTCACAATTTAGAACTAAATTTAAAACCACATCAGGTTTTAGAGGTAAGAATTTTTATTCCTTGAGCAAAAGTATGTTTTATTTCAAATAAAGTTTTATATCATTTAGTTGAAATGAAAATATAATTAATTAGGTAAAATAATGTAGAATCTGGTGCATTCGTGTATTGAGTTCACATTTTTACATTTATTATCATTATGATAAGAATTGATGAACAGTTTTCACCATGTAATAGTTACCTTTGATTGTTGCTTGAACAATGGATGTTTATGGTTTTTTGAAAAAAAGATAAAAGATCATTATGTACTTGTCATCACATAGCATCACCAATTATCGGTAATGCATAAAATACACTAGAAAAAAAATGCAAACGATTTCTTGTACAACTCAGATTTTTTGTAAGTAACTTTAAGAAGAAAGTATGTGTTCTGTCGAAACCACTGTATTAGGTTACACTGTCTCTTTGCACTTCTTGCATACACTACAGTTCTTCCAGATTATTTCCATATTATTACTAAAGTTTAAATATGTAACAGTATTATATATATATATATATATATATATATATATATATATATATATATATATATATATATATATATATATATATATATATATATATATATAGTTCAATTTAGTTGCTTCATATTTTAAGTATTTGACTTTCAACGTCAACCTTAGTGACCAGGTGTTATCATTTGTACGCCTTACACAAGATAGTAGGCTTTTAGTTTAAGTATATAGATATGCATCTGCTTAGTGAGTTGGAGTTTTGTTAGCGTATCGTTGTTCAGACTTACAGTAAATTATCCGTAGATTATGTAAAAATTCAATTAATATGAAGAAATGTCAACTTTATTCTCACTGATTTCTAATTTGTTTTATTGTTAAAGATTTAATAAAACTTCGCTAGTTTTTCGTTTCTTGAAAGGCGAAGTATTTATAGTTGATCTCTTTCTCAACAACCTACTTAAATTGTAGTTACGCAATGATAGTTTTTGTATTAAATTTTTATTAACAAACCTGTGTTTAAAATGTTGAAGAATTCTGATGTTCTCATGTTTTTGCTCTTACAGTTCGAATTTTAATTTTACCCCTTGAAATAACGATGCTTCAAGTCCCTTAAACCTTAACTGTTCATTTCTATTTCAAGTTTGGTGTACATTTAGGAAGAAATTTCATTCACACCTAACAATCCCACATCCTTTTTTTTACTTTCTTGGCAAGTATTGTTTCATAAAGGTTTTGACATCAACCAATCGATTATTGGACATCAAAAATCATAGGATAACTGTTTCATTCAATTTCATGACATTCATACTACTCCCTAAATTCATTAGTTTTCAAACTGTTTAACTTTATCACAAATCATTCATTCGAGTTGACTCTGTTTTCATGTAACATGTGATGCTTAACATTCTCTGTGTATCAATGTTGGGGATGTTAGATCCCCAAAATTCGCTTGATAATGCCGTATTTCGGTTTTCACGTTCGCCAGCAGGGGCTGATCAAATGACCTTGAGATTTCAATTCCCACCAGGAAAATCAATGGCTGTGATTGGCTACAATGTATTTTAGTATGCTATTTTCTTAACTGTCTCAAGGACGTTGTTATGTTGTATAAATAAACGAGAGTTGTATGCTTGATTGTACTGGGATTGCTGGGTGCTTGTAGAATATACTTCTACGCCTACAAAGTCTTCTATTTCGATTCTGGGATTCAGGGTAGCCTTCCTGGAGGCTGGTAAAAGTCTCGTTCGCGTTTATCGACTAAGGTAACTCGTAATAGCTCAAGCATCCTAAGTGCCGAACATATCAATCAACGATGCTTATGCTAATGTAGTTGGAAAACTACACGACAAAACCAAATCATATATGAAAACTGAATGAGGTCTCATTTCCTTTAGTCTGATTTCACTACTTAGACAGACAGATAAATACAACGCAGAACTTCGTACGTAAGTACATCAGTTCAGGTTGCCATGCCCCATCAGCACAGAGACCCAACTGTCAGTTCAAATCCAAGAGTGATAGCAATAATAGAAGTATTATCAGTAATGGAGAAGATTAGGGAGCGAAGATCACTACTTAGGTTGGAAAAGAAAGAAGACTAGTATAAACACATGACTTCGTTTGGATGATCAGTGAATACCGTTGATTATACTGACTACTTCTCTCTTTTCCACTGATCCAGTTTTTGCCATCTAGTGTTCGATATGCCAGTTACAGTGTGTGAACGAGATCGTTGAAATCACATGTTATCCAATTTATATTTGTTATTATTAGAACTCGAAACTTCAGGTTATATAATCTGATCAACCAGTTTCACTTATTCTACTATTATGCTACATTTACTTCGTATATTAATATCGAAGTATAAATATGGAAAATAACTTCATTTGATCTAATAACTGAAAATGTAATCCATGACTCTTGATCTATGTGAAATGTAGGCTTCTTTACTCGTTTTGATTGCGGATTATTGATTATTGCTAACGATTAGATTTTCGAATGAGATTGATTACTGTAGTGGAAATCAGTAACTAGGAAGTGCTAGATTAGTTCGACTCAAAGTTATTGACGAATTAATAAACTCATCCGCTCATTTTGTTTCTTTCCATCTTGAAGGTTTTATTTTCTAGGCTTATACTTTCCATTTTGATTTACATTCGGTTTTTCGCCAAATTTAAACCGAGTTGTAATTTCATCTTTCTGTTCAACGTGAATCGATTGGTCGTTTCACTAGGTTTTCATAACGTTCAATTAGTCAGTCAACCTTTTATAAACATTTGTGTACTGATTGTTCAATTTGAATTTTTAACCATTATGTTTAATCTTGATGTCAATTAATGCCATTTTGATTTGATAGGTAGCTAGTCCGTAGCCCGCTTCATTTATTTCAACTCGATTAATTGATGCGTCATGCATAACAAATAGAAATGAAAGCTGATTACAATTTTTCCATCATATAGGAGGATTGATGTATTGTCATTGTCTTTAATTAATTTACATTGTTTCTTTTGTTATCTGTTAGAAAAGACTTAAATTTCCGATTTTAGCTTATTAAAAAACTGTCCGTTAATTTGACTGGTCAACAGAAAACAAATTTACTCGAATATCTTCTGGTAAGTGGTGATGATTTGTTTTTCATCACTTTATGTATATATTTCTAAATTACTTTTTACATAAGTTAGAATTCTTAATATCAGTACAATCAGACTAGATAATAATTGTAATTGCATTCAAATATTTAGAACAAATTACGCTTCTTGTTTGAGATACCCAACAATCAATATGAGCTCTTTTTTAAAGAACTTTTTAATGGTTAGACTTCTGTAAATTTAAATGCAATTGACTTAAAAGAACATATTTGTACATCCCGTAAAAGTATTTTTTTCCCCGTCTGTTTTAAGTCTAGAAATAATATCTTTCACTAGTTTGTTCCCTGAAATTGCACATACACACTATTACCTTATCATAAAAAAGTAGTCTCATGAGATATTTAAAAATTCTTTAGGTATATACAAAATATTCTTACCGTTTCTTTTGAAAACCTGCGTTTTCTAGATTTTACGAATAATAAGCTGTTACACAAGTGTTAGTCAATAAATATTCTCATTTTTATGATAAGACAGATCTATTTAACCAATTAATTATAAAACTTAACCAAATTGGCTTCAATGAATTTGAAGAAACAATTCATGTTAATGTGAATGTGTACTGTGCGTTTACTACTAACTAAATTGTTTGTTCTGAGTTATCAACAACTTTTATGCACCATATTAGCTCTCTTTTTAAATATATCCGATCAGCTATTCTCCATCAAGCTATAACAATGAATTTTTACTATTTTTATTACTTACTTACTGACTATGTTAACCAGTAAACGGTTGTCACAACCGCTAATACTTCTACTATTTCTACCACGATGGGATTTGAACTGACATTTGCGTCTCTGTGCTAATGTAGTATGGCGACCTGAATTGATCTACATACGTACGAACGTCTCCGTTGTAATTGACTGACTGACAACTGAAAGTATGGTTAGTTTGTTTAAACTGATTTCTGTATCTGAAAGTATCATACACATGACTAACACTGAATTTTATTTAATAAAATAACAGGGATGTTTCCAAATGATGAAATACTTTACATAATAAAATTAAAGAAATGTTTTGTCATTTGTAAGGTTTTTGAAACGAGTTCCATTCGAATCATGGTTCGATCAATGTTAGACCGCCATTACAAACCTGAAAACACTGAACTGCCACTTCGTCCTAGTATAAGACTCATCAGCAGTGCGTACCCACGACCATGTACGTGAGGATTGAATCCAAGACCTTCGATCTCGCGTGAGGACGCTTAACCTCTTGACCATTCAGCCAGCGTCCAGTGGTGTCAATGTGTAACGTCAATCAGGTTTCTAATGATGGTCTAACGTTGACAAAATGTTGTTTTGAACAGTCTTTTAATGCTCAAAGGTCTTTCGATAGAAATAGGCGTTCTTATTTTATGTTAAAACGGAAAATGTGAACTTTTATAAATTTTAGATTGAATATAGGTTATTTTGATTTCTCTTGATAACGATCGCTTGTAAATAACTGATTTGCTGGCAGTTATTGTATCAGTAGTGGTTAGTAATTCAATGTTTTTGTTACTAAGCAATTCAACTTCCAATAATTTGATATTAAGTCGAAATTCACTCCACATCTTTTTCTTAAGTCAGTCCTCATATACGGAAATATATGGTTGAAAGCTAAGTACAAGAAAGTTTGTACTCAGTAAAACAATTTACAGTATTTTATTAAAAATTAGTAGTTTGCTTGAGACTTAAGGTTTTGTCAACACTATCAATCCTTATTTTATCAGCTGTTATGAATTTCGTATTTACTGTTTACGTTACGATTTTCTGAAACCTAGTCACCAGTATCCGTAACTCTGTAGTTTGCGTGTGCGTAATAATTTTCTTAAAACAACCGTTCTCATGATTGCAACATCTGTTTTGTTTAGTTGCGACATTTATGAAAGGTCATAACACAGAGCTGAAACGTATTATCAACAAGTACGTTTTGATATGCTTGCAGCTATTACGAGTTCACCTTACTCGGTAAACGGAACGAAGATCAACTACGCAGTGACACGATAGGCTATTCTAATACGATTGTCCCAGGCCCCGCTAACTAACGCAGGAAGTTTTAATCAGGCGTGGAGCATGTATTTTACAGGCACCCAGAATGGTTGAGGTTACCAAGCACACAACTCAAGCTTATTTATACAAATATAAAACACACCTTGGTGAGAGCCACAAAATAGCCTACTAAAATAATCCATCAATCAATGACAGTCAAGGATTTTCCGAGTGGGAAATATAAGCTGAAGGTCAGCTAAGCATATTTGGCGCGAAAACATAAAAATTCAAAATTTCAGAAATAAATTACAAAATTAGGACCTTTTTCAAGTCAGTTCCTAACACGTTTTTAATCCAAATCATCTTAAGCAATAGTCTTCCAGCTGCATCATTATCCATTTTCTAAAACTGAGCATAATAATATCAAACTACATTAGTAATTTAATGTTTAATGATCAAAACTCACACTAAACTATCAATTGTTATTTATGCACAAAATCACACTGTAACAATCCGATATAGTAGGTTGAATCACTTATGTAAGTTCAGGTTAAGATAAATGTTAACATACATCTTAGTTGATAAGTGAGTTATTTTCTAGTTTCGGTTTCTTAGACATGAATACATGCTTAGCTTTCACCTAGTACAAAAGATAAATCTTTTTCATAAAATTTATTAAAGAGAAAATTGATAGTTGAACTAAGCAAACAACTGTTGTGTATGTATGGATATTAAAGGGAGAAAGTCGAAGTTTAAATTCTTTGATAAGGAAATATCAAAATTTGAGCCAATCTAAATGATTTCTGCATATATAGCTATCCGATCAATTGATTAATTTTCTACAACTAACAAACTACTTGAGCATATGCATACTTTTCCAAAAGATTACGTATTGTTATTCTTTTTAATTTCCCAAAGGGTTTAACTACTATTGGACATTTTGAAAGTTTACGCTTAGCAACGCATCTCCATTCGTCTTGTCAACGTATGCCCGATTGTTGTGACTTTGTTACCTGGTTACCGGCCGAATTAACTCTGAGAATTTTCTCTTATCTATCATGGAGTAAGAGATGTTCAAAATTTGATTTTAATTAATAAATTTACTCATTTTATCATTTTGCTATATTTTACGTAAGCACACTTTCGTGTAGAGTCCTGAATTTTGTAAGCAACTACTAGCTGATAATTGTTTTGTGTAATTGATTAATGGTATGGACAATATAAATATCTTAATAATCTGGATGTGTAGGAATCTCACTCCGGAACTCGAACCCATTACCTGACACTTAAAACACTATTGCGTTATCCACTTAACTACTAACTCCAGATAGCCACTCGCTTGTGCAATGGGGCGAAAATTATTTGATTTGTATTGGTTGTTTGGATCGTCCCATTGATGTTTAGGACTGAAATTGTGCGAATCGCCTCGACACTGTCTTTAGGTTAGGACTCAGTAGCTTAGTGGATGATGTGATGGCGTTTGAAGCGTAAGGTGCTGAGTTCGAGTCCCGAAGAGAATATCACATCTGAGATGCAGGTGCATCCAGCTGACAATTGTCACGTTCTTGATTTCACTGCTATTCACTTCCAGCTCTGCTGATAATGCTTGTAACCTAAAGGTAACGTCAAGGCAATCCACACAGGTTAGTTAGTTATTGTTGGTTAGTGCACTTTGTCATAGCTTCGTCCTACAGGTAACGGTTTGTTCGGTAGAAGCTTAAACTACTCAGTCAATTAGTTACAACCTAGAACTTCGTCCATACGTACATAAGTTCAGGTTGCTATACCATATTACCACGGAGACGCAATTATCGATTCAAATCCCATAGTAGTAGAGGTAGTAGGAGTATCAGCGGTAATCAAAACGATTAGCGACCACAGATATAATTTTAGAAGTATTATCTCGCGAAAAAAAATGTAAAAGAAAGAATAAACATCATGTGGAATTCAGAAGACTAAGGTTTGAGATAACACAAAGAATAGATGCACCTGCTCCATTCAAAACGATTTCGAGCCATGTCATCCAAGGTCTTCAACCACCGAATACTATCATCTCGCGGACCCCAACCAAGTAAGCTACACTTACCCACATGTCTCAGTTCACTTGTCATTGACTTCATGGATTTGTGCCATGTTTTGGTTTTGCTGCACTTAGCTTTCTTCCAACCTACTCCTACCCCACAAAACATCGCCCGTCCAGGCAATCGATGGTTGGGTATTTAAATACTTCATCTATTGATTTGTCATTCCAACCTAGTACTCGCTTTCTGACGACAGTATTGCTTACCCGGTTGTCCCAGGATACATGAGCAATGCTTCAAAAGCATCTATAATCGAATACTAATAGCATACGAATATCCTCAACTCTTACCAGTCATATTTCACAGCCATAAAGTAGGACGGAGCGAACTGATGCGCAGTATACTCGTCTTTTGATAGCGAACGGATATCTCGCCTATGCCATAAGTGACACAATTTGGCAAGAGCCAATCGAGACTTCTATGTCCGTGCTGAGATTTCATCAGTCACCAGGCCATCAGCATTGATGAGACTCCCGAGATAGGTGAAGCGATCAACACGCTCAACTGCTTCACTCCCTATCACTAGTTCAGGCGCCGATGCAACCCAATCTTGAAGCAACATTTTACATTTCGACGGGGAGAATCGCTATGGAACATGCTTTCATTGTTGCTTAGGGTGGTGAAAAGACGGCATCTTATTAGCTTCTTCATCAAGTAGAAAACTATGTCATCGGCACACTCTAAGTTAACAAGAGAGTCTCTTGGTAGAACGTCCACTTCTGTAAAGTCAGAGAAAGATAATGTTAACTCTAAAAGTATGTCTATGACAAATTTAAATAAGAATGTAGAAAGTGGACAACCTTGACGAACACCACTTGAAGTAATCAACTTCGATGACAGTTCGCCATAAGTTCTCAGTCGACCAGTGGTATTCGAATAGAGGGTCTGTATAAGGTTATCGTACTTCTCTGGTACTGTTTTCAATGACAGACACTGCCACAGCATATCATGATCGACAAAGTTGATATAAATCTTTTCGTACGTCTGAACGTGTGTCTATCTTCTATGCCCTGTCATAGTGTGAATATTTGCTCGATACATTCACGTCCAGGTCTGAAACCAACCTGGTTTTCTCTAGTCGGGTCTTTACAAGTTCTATTTAAACGTTGAAGTATTATCGAGGTTGACATTCTAGATACTATACTAGACTGATTCGTTTGTGATTGTCACGTTTCTCTTCTTTTCGATGCCCACCACTGTTCGCCACTGTTGTAAGGGTTTCTTATCAGCCTGTGCTTAGACTGATTCCGCTCCTCGTGGTAGAACTTACAGGAACATATGTCCCAGCTAATGTAGCTTGGTTCGGTCATCATGATAGGCAAGCTTCCCCACCACGTCAGGTTAACAACTATGATCAGCGGCCTTAACTGATTGAATGTGATGGTTAGCTTGGGATTTTGCAAACTGTCGAAGTTCATTGAAATCAGTAGTCACTGTAAGTTAGATTACCATAACGAAGTTGTAAACACTAGACGGCCGAGACAAATGAAGCTGAACCGTGTCGGGTATAAGACAGATACCCACCGAAGTCAACGAAAGATGGTAGTGCAATGTTGTAAATTAATCGAAGTTAGGCATTAGATTTCATGTATTGTTGATTGATAAATACTAGCAGTACAGCTATTGATAATATATTTCAAAATTTGGTCGTTTTTTCCAGAACTTTTATTTACATTTGTAAGTTAATAAAAATTCAACCTAAGTAATAATCAGTAAATTTATTAAAGCTGATTTATTCGGTTATTTAATTGTATCTATCATAACATCATTTGGCAACCAAAGTTTAGATTTATTCTTAAAAAAGCAGCATTAAATGACTGATTTCATACAGTTTTTCCCCATCAACAATTCGAAATGATGCAAGAATAATGAAGTGAATTCATTTATTTTGTTGGATCTCATCACCTGCTTACAACTTATAAATAATTCTTTATAATCAATGTACTTACATATCATATTATTAAGGATTATTAGAATCACGACAACAAATATGGATGAATTATAAAGTGATAAAGTGGATAAATATTTATCTTAAGCAAAAGAATCTGAAAGCGTTAAAATAATCCTAGGCATATGTGAATGCTCTACTCATCCATAGAACATGATTAAAGGCAAACTGATCACATTCGTCATTATCTTGCAGAAATCTAATAATATCTACTTGAAATACGTTGATCATTCTTTATGATGTTGTTAAAATATAACCCACTTACTTTAATCTCTGGAAATAATTTTTGTATATGGATTTACAGCTACAACGTATCTTATAGCCAAATAACTTAATGTACGTATTCCAGTTACAAAAGTATCAAGTTGTATCCAATCAATTATATCCAAGTTGAATTTACTGAAATGCATTAGCGATCCTAGTATATTGTTGATAATTATCAAACTTGGAAATAATGTAATATTAATAATGCTTTTGGTGGTGTGTTCTAGATTCATTAATTACGAAGCTTTCGTTGTTGTTCTCGACAACATTAGCATCCACTTCATGTCGAAGTAAACTTTTCAGTGATGTTGTAAATACTTTCAATGGGTTCTTTGTAATGATTTTTGATGTAATTATTTTTCTGTATTTGTCTGTTACATTCCTACTGTTTATCATTGATCGAATTCTTCTGAACTTTATCTGTTGTATTATTTTAAGAATCTTTAATTGTATGCTCAGAAGTCAATAAAAGTTGGTTGAAATATGCTCGACACCCAGAATTATATCGAAAATTTTGTATGCTACCAAAATGGTCTTCTCCTATTTTAAGAAGACCACAATTATCCAATAATTTAACAAAATCCAGTGAACTTTGTTATCGTGTACAAGAAGAAAATGTACAAAATTCAAATCATTCTATAAGCAATTATTTGGAAATTAATGTAAGAATTTTAAATGTTTTTTTTTCCCTGGTATTCTTATAGTCTATATATATATATATCATGCATGTCAAGGTGTGAATTCTCTGCACAATCTGTAAGCAACAGCACTATGTATTGAAATGACGTGTAGATATCATAACTGATAGGAAAATAAAACATTGACTAATATTCAAAACACTACATTCATTGAAAATTGATTGAATATTTGTACAATCGTTATTATCTTAGTCCATTCTACTCTACGTAAGCTGTAATTTGTTACACTCTATTCTTTATATTCTTTACATGCGTTTTATTTACTGAACAAAATGTGATAAATTTTTGAACGAAGGGTTATTTTATCTGTTGACATCGGTTTCGTCTGTAATTATCAGAACTCAGTTACAAATTATGGTAGCGTTTGTTGATTAATACGGAATCATGAAATTAATGATACATAGGAATACTAACAGATTGCTTGCTGAAAAAGTGTTTGAATTTGCGATTGCGTTTAACGATTATGACAGAAATCATTTAAAAATCCATATCACCGATGGGATATTATCAATAGTTTTGATATATTTTCATTTTCATTTTTCACAATCATTTGATTGCACTGTGCTGATGTGATGTAGCAGCTTGAACTGATGCTAATAAATTCCAAGTTCTACACTGCTCATCATTGAATGATTCATTGTAACAGATAGTAAAGTTATAAATGTAGAACTTTATCTTTCAAAAGAAAAATAACTGATTTGCTCGAAAATTCCTATGGTTTAACGCTATTTTGAATATATTTGGTTGTTTTTATTTTTTTTTTACCTTACATCGACAGCATAAGAATACTGTTCGTCAAGTTTATTGTATCATTTGAGATTTGTCGTTATATAGTTGTTAATAAATTGTTTTGCTCTGTACTATAAAGTCAATGTTTCAAGCTCTAATTAAACCTGTAGAAATAAATAGTATCACTTAAAGTTTTTTTTTGCCAAAGCCTAATCTAAATGATTGTTTATAGCTACAGAATTTTCATTCAATCCTATTTTTCTGTATAAATTTCATATTTATTAAACGATAAAATCAGTAATTAGTCACAATATTATATAATTCTTATATTTCTACTCATGGTTTTGTTACCAATAACAGTTATTTTGGGGCAGAGTTTTGGAGGTTTGTGTTTTTACACATTTCAAATCATCAATCAATCATTGTTAGACCACCATTAGAAACCTGGATGCGCACTGCTGATGAGTCCCATACCAGGACGAAACGGCCGTCCAGTGCTTCCAGGTTTCTAATGGTTGTCTAAGAATGATTGATTGATGATTTGAAATAACGGTAATATCAATTCCAACGTTTCATTTTTTAAATTAAGAAAAACTTCACTTATTTATTTGCAATTAAATTCAAGTTACAAATTATTCAAATGAACTTATTCTAGGTTACTATATTACATAGATTTTGATTTTATTTATTTATATGATCCGAAATGCATTGGTTACACTAAGGGTAAGAAGAGTCTCTTGTTTCTTTCAAAAATTTCTTATGCAGCCAAAAAGGTTGTGCTCACTGCCTTCATGTAACTGCAGAGTTTTTTCTTAAAAATATGGGAGAAAAAAGCGAACGTTTGGCGCCTAAACCAAGTTGAGGGATTCAGAGGGCTAATATAAGAGAACTGGATTAGCTTAGATTATTGTGATCACAAATCCAATCAGTAAATAAGATTTGCTGAACCAGATTTCACATTCTTAACTGTTAATTATTATTTTACTTCTATAATGTGAAACATATTTCACATTGATAATTTTATGTATATTATCCTTTTTGTCTTACTAGTGGTTAAATGTATTCAAAAAACGTGTTTGTCTGAGACGTAATTTCCGTTTGGGTAAGCATCGAATACGTAAATTTAATGGACATAGTGGAGGTATGTATTAATGGTTTCTTTTTTGTATACTTATACTTTTCACTATTTACTATATGGTGCAATTTTCAGCTTATTTACTTGTTTGCTAATGATGTAGAGAAGTTTTCTACATAAAAATATTATTATTTTAAGTGATCCAATATAAGTGTTGAAATCTAGTTGCTTCTGTCAACAATAATTTTTTTCCATGTGATGACTTTACTCACCCGAAAATCACATTCACGAGTGGATCAATGACTTTGTAATTGCTAACTCTTCTGACTATTAGATAAATAGTAGGAATTTAGTACTAATTATCTTTTTCTCATATCATTCACCGGTTTTTTGTGGCCCACGAACTGACGAAGAGCTGCCTATGCTGTTTGATAAATCTTTCCTTCGATTTCCGTATATCTTACTTAGACGATCACTGTTTGTGCAACGGCGGTTGTATGTAGCGACAAACGGATTCTGTTGGATTAGTTTCTTTCATGCAATCACTCACGCGGACAGACATGAGGATCTAAAGCGTGAAAGCAAAGGTAAGCAAAACTGAGAAGACGAGTTAGCCAATTCATTGTGATGAGGCATAACTAAGTATTTATAGTTGGAGAAAACAAGCTAGACATGTGATAAGCGAAGTAAGCGTGGAACAGTATTATCATCAGTACTGTAACTTGTTTACAAATAGTAATTGAATATTTGGTAACAAAATTATTACAAACAGAATTTTTCAGTTCAGTTGTCCTTGTTATTATTTCATGCATAACATATATATCTCTGGATCCTTAAGTTGTACACTTTAGAATGTATGCATACAATCAGTTTATCTACATTCAAATTTTATTCGATAGTTATTTATTTATAACATACTATTGGTCTAACCTGAATGCTTTTCGTAAATTTTCTTTTTAGCGGTTTATTGTGTTGATTGTGATGCATATCGTATTGTTAGTGGATCAGCTGATGCTACAATACGTGTATGGAATATTCGTACAAATGCAAAATGGTCTGTTCAGACACTTCGTGGACATTCAGATGCTGTTCGTTGTGTACAGTTATTATCTTTACCTCATTATCAATCAAATAATACAAATAATAATATCAATAGTTATTGTTCCTCTTCTCCTGTACATTGTATTCATGAATCAATAGCATCAATACCATGTTCTTTATGTAAATTAAATAAAACGATTACATATCCTAATTGTTGGGAACCACCAGAAGTACTTTTAATCTCTGGTAGTGCAGATACAACTTTAAAATTATGGCGTCTTTCAACAACATCTAACTGGTCACGTATTGCTTGCACATGTACTTTACAAGGTCATACTGACACTGTAAGATGTGTACAGGTATGTGAGTATCATATATATGTATATATATCCAGAAGGTTTCAGTTTATTGTCAATAACACGTGAACCTTATTCTTCTAAATGCTTCACTGAATTAATAATAATTTGTTTAAATTCTCTATTCATGAACATTAATTACTATTAACGGTTTAAAATACGTTACGTTTTTTTCGAACTGATCAGTGCTTAGGGCGTTAAAATGGTAAACTTTATTGATTTGCCGGAATAAATAATGAAGTAACTCATTTCTTTCTAAAATGCACTTAACATTTCACTAGTTTAAATAGATCGAATAACAAAGTCTCCGTCCCTGTTTTGTCCCATTTTTACCATATGATTAATGCTGCATCTCGTTTGTATTTATAGGTTTCTAAAAAGGACCTAAATAGTATTGTGATAAACATAAACTTTTGTCTCAGTTAATTTAACCACTTGTCTTCTATGTTGTATTTGTTAACCGATATGTTTATTGATTTACCATTTTGAGTAGATCCTTTGTTCATTTTACCTAAGTTATGTTTTATAACTTTGTTATAAACTGTATAACCCGTGCAAATTAACATAAACAGATAATGATTAGCTAGTCAACATTTTACACTTGAATTCAGTGCACATACTTATCTTGAAATTAACAATTTGCACAATTATTTCAGTAAGAAAAATTTATCTAATTTACATAGTAGGCTATTTGTATTGAGAAATTATAGTTCTTTTTACTTATAAAAGAGTAATGAGTTAGTCTGTTTTGACTTACCTTTTCATCATTTATAGAGCCGTCAGTTAAAATAAGTTTATCATTGATAATAACAGTAAATCTTTATGTGTGTATCCATAAAGGTTTCAGTTATTTTAAATAACACATAAACCTTATTCTTCTAAATGCTTCACTAAATTAATGCTCGGTCTAATCTGTATAAATTCTATGGGATATTACAAAACGTTTTTTTCGCCCAAATTATTTTTACGAAGTCATGTAGAGGTACAAAGCATGAATATGTGTATCATATATTTTGAAATTTGAAATACTGATTTTAAAAGTACGTTAGAAATCAAAGATGTGCAATTTTCACAGAGTTTATTTTCTCAAACGTTCCTATTAAAAATTTCATTTATAGGACGTTGGAAATTTCCGCTTGTTAATTCATAATGGTGTATATAAAAAGACTATATTACGTAGTTCAATATATTATACTTGGTGCCTAAGTTAGTGGCTTGCTGAATTTATTAGTTTAGTATATAACGCGTTGAGCGTTTAATTAAAAAGGTACCAGGTTGGAGTCCTGATGTGACCATCGACACTGCGATGCAGTTCTATCCAGCTGAAGATTTCGAAATAGGATCAGTCACTTCATATCATTGGATTGTTAACCACTTTCAATCTATTCTACTGAATCTCCCAAAGAATTATTTAACATTTCGCCTGCAGCTGCTATTCACCAACTTGGAGTAAATAATTGTCTCCCTGACGTAGGTATAGCATTGAGCCCTACGGCAGAACTAGCTCTTCTAGACTAGATCCTAGTAGATAGCTGCTTAAGCACTGCCCGACCAAACGGAAAAGTTGGGACTCGGAAAGGTAGAAACACTCGCCGTTGCCTCTTCGTCGTATCTGCCTATACTCCCACTAACTGTAGTTCAGATGAGGTGAAAAATGAGTTTTAGAGAAAGCTGTCGGATCTCTTCCAAAACGTTGGGCGTTCTGATCTAGTAACAATAGCTGGTGACTTTAACGCTGGAGTAGGTAGACAAAGTGTGAAGAAAAGATACCTGGATGGATGTTATGGTGTAGCGGCTCAGAGAACAGACGATGGCGACCGTATGTAGCAACTGTGCTCAGAC